AAATAAAATAAATATTTATTTCAAGATTAAAAAATCATACATCAATTTATATAATAATATTAATGATATAAATAGATTATGATATTAAATAAAGAGGCATGTTAATGAAAACCACATAAGAAAATAAAATACTATATATTAGGTAACTTAATAGCAATAATCAAAAATTTAAAAATATTTAATATTTGAAATAGAAGGGAAAGACGATTTGAACTTGAGATTTAGATTAAAATTATGGTGAAAACGCTTAAACTATGGATAGAACTACAAAATTAAAGTTTTACTAGATAAAAAACTAAAAATTAGATAACAAATTAAAACTAAGGAATTACAAAATAAATATCTCATATGGGTAATTTTATGAACGAAAATTAAAGTCTAATTTGTATCCTAAATTTAAAAGAGAAAGAAAATTTAATTACACGTGATACAAAAAACAATTATAAGAAAATTCAATAGATTTAAAATATAATAATAAAAAACTTATCTATTAATGTTTTTAAACCAATTCAAAGTTATAACTTAAAATAAAATGTGATATTATATATTTTGTTTATTGGTAAAATATTAATGTAAAAAAACTAATTAAAAATTCATAGTAGGAAGAGGATGTATAAAGAGGAAAATAGAGATAGTGTGAGAATATTTATACTTGGAATTAATTAAATATAAGTATATTAAATAATTAAATAATACTCAAATATATTATTGAAAGATTTAAATGAAAAAAAAGTTCCAAGTAAGAGGATAAAAGTACAAAAATAAATTAAATTTTAGGAAGAAAAAAACTTTGTATTTATATATGTTTATCAAAAGAGTAATAAGCAAGATATCAAGTCAATTGGTAAGCTAATAAAAGATCACATGAATATAACATTATTAAGTAATAGATAATGTAATAACTATAAGCAAAGATTAAAGAGAGAGTTGTTTTGGGTGAAAATGTAGAAGGATAAAACTTATTCGAATTTGTGGTGAAACATAAAAAGGTTGTAAGAATTTTGTTAAATAATATGCTCAAACAAGACATATCACAAACGTGATATGTTTAGTATTATTTAATATTGACCACAAAATAAAATACAAGTACTAAATCAAGTAGTTGCATTATTACAGATATAAAATAAAAATATAAATAAAAAGAAACATGTTATCTGGAAGTTTTAAATTTTAAGATAATTGTAATAACTCAAATTATAATTTGTTATTTATGTCCGTGCATCGCGCGGGTACTAATACTAGTATCTTTTTAAAAGGAATAAATTTGTCTTCAAACTATAAAGACGTCAGTAGCAATTAAAAAGAAACATATTAATTATAATTGCAAAATATCATTTTGCTGAGAGAATTTCATGAACCAGCACAATTTAAGAGCCTAATTTCCGACCTCTTGCATTGCATTACCATAACGAAAAGAAAAAAAAAATAAAAAAAAAGAAAGAGATTGCTCTTGTGGCTATTACCATATGTAATTTGCATAATTATCATTCATAACTACTGTTCAATTGTTACCGGCTTATATCACTTATATTCGTTCGTGTAACTAATACAATCTGTATCGACTATATTCATTTGCATAACAAATACAACAAAGATGAAACTACAAAAATACAAAAAAAAAATGCTCTCATAAAGAATCAAACTCAAAACTCAAATTTCGTTATTTATGTTTTCAATTCAAAATAATTGATCTCTTATTCCAGTACTAAAGGTGGATTTGCTATAAATTTCAAATATGGCTATGAATAGTAATTTTCTGAAAGTATAACTACGAATGATAAATACAATATATATATTTGTGTGTCGCATAATTATTTCTTATACATATTCAATCAATTTTTTAAATACAGATACATGTTAGAGTTCACGCTAGCAAAGGCGGATCTAGGATTTTGACAGGATAGGTGCACTATTAAGAAGGGGTGGATCCAGAATATAAATTCTACATGTTCAACCTTTAGTTCTTACTATTGCACACCCATTACACTTTTGAATTATAAGTTCAAAATTAAAATTTAAAAAAAATATATTTTTCTTGCATCTATATATATTATCCATGTTGAAAATGTGGGAATCAGTTGAACCCATTGATTATATGCTACATCATACATTGTTACTAGTTTTAATATACATATTTTGTTTAATCATATAAGATTTTACGGTGACAAAAGAAGAATAGGAATTTTAATGTGTGAAAATTTTGAAAGAATAAATCAAACAAAAAAAAAAGAAATAAAGAAAAAGTACTTAATTAATACGCAAAAAGTAATACCAAACATACTCATCTCCCATGGGCATCTAGTTCTAGGAAAAAAAAAGAAAAGAAAATCAACTAGATTGATATAAGATTTGACTTCGCAACCCACTTAGAGAGGTAGACCCAGTAACTATCACATTATATATTACTTTGAGCATGGGTGCACACACATATATTTAAGTATTTTTGAAAAAAAATATAACATTACTATATATAATTTAGGGAGGGGAGCATGGGTTCACGTGCCCCATGAACCCCCCTAAATACGCCCGTGCACGCTAGCCCTGAAATGTTTTAAAAGGCGGGGGCGTGAGGCGAGACGTTTTACCTCTGATGGGGCGAGGCGTAAACCCTGAGACATGTGGCGTAAACCCTGAGACATGTGGCGTAAGTCCCATGGATCTTTAAATTTTACTAATTTCAAAATTTTTAAGATAGTATAAAATAAAACATAATTATAAAAAATTACATTAAAATCACAAAATTATAACAAATAATCTATTTAAAATATTTATAAATTTTAATTCAACTATGAATAATACGAAGAGTATGACATTTATCATAATATGCAAATTAGCTGGAACGTCGTTACAACTCAAACATCAAAACTAATGTATTCGATATGAAATCTTATATGTATCTCTCAAGGAGTAATGAATCTTGAAAGAATTTCGATATTATAATTTGATATTTTTCTTAAAATGCTCCTTTGATTTAATATGCTTTCTATTTGAAAGAGAATTTATATAAAAACATAATTCACAATTTAAATATGATTCTCTAGCATTATTGATTTTTAAGTTTCAACAAGTTAATAAAGTGACACGTAATTCACTATATAATACCTTGATAACTTATTATTTGTAAATAGTTACTAGATAATACTAAGCTATTAAATTAATAAGTGTTGTATCTCGTAAACATAAAAACAAATATTTAAAAAAATAATTATAAAAAAATATGAACTATTATATAGTAAAGACATAACAAAAGTTAATAAATAAATACTTTTTAAATGAAAGATTTATTTGAAATTAACTATGATAGTAGTCTTAGTGGATAACGTGCAATAATTTTTATTTTAATTATGACATAAAATACTCTCAACTTAATTATTTATAATTAAAAAAAAAGTGAGTTTGAATACTCAACGATTTATTAAGAAAATTTGAGGATTTGACAAGGCCAGTTACATACAATTGCATAAAATTCTATTAGGCACGAGCCCAGTACGTTGGGCGTTGGGCATATTCGGGGCGTAAGTCTCACGGTACTAAACCTCACACATAAGTCCAGAAGCGTTTTACGAGTACTCCGCCCCGGAGCGAGTCCCAATTCTGCCTTTTAAAAAAGAAGTTTTATAATAGTGTCTAAATAGATTGACAGACATAAATTATTAATTATGTCATGATTTAAATAACAATTATAGCAAAATAGAACACTATACTATCAAATATTAATAAGTAATCATTATACAGCTTGGATTTTTTTTGGTCTATGATAATTTTGCCACATTTAACTTGACGGCATTTGATCCATTATATTGTTTCATCATCTAACGTGTCTTTGTTATTACGTCACAGTTAAAATTTTAATTTAATCTTTTAATCATTGACAAGAAGAATGGCTCTAGTCTGTCACATATTAATGGATTATTATCTACATTGAGTGCTTGACATGCAGACTAATCCAAATCCATTAATTCAAAACTAGAGGTATCAAGGAATACACAGCAAAACTTAATAAAATTAAACAAAGAAGAACAATGACAGTTGCAGGCCAAATTTGCATTTGTTCATCAGTTAACTGGAAGAACAGATTATACGCATGAAAAACAGAATACACTCAATAAGAAAAAAATGAGATAAATAGATAATATAATAAATATCACCGTGAGTAAACAAAAAAGAGGCAGCCCGGTGTACGAAGCATCCCGCATTCATGCAGGATCCGGGACCGGGAGGGCCGTACCCTAAATGGGTGTGATGTAGGCAGCCTACTCTAATGCAAACATCCGTGATTGATTCCGCGATTCGAACCCGTGACCTATAGGTCACACAAAAACAACTTTATCGTCTTTAGTGCTAGTAGCTAGGGGACAATAATTGCATCAAATCTCCATTGAGATTCTTGAGAAAAGGCTTCAGGCTTGGCATAGGTAAATAACCTAAGTACAAAATTAACACACAACAACCCACAACATCTTTGAACTAAACAACCACATATCAATTCATGTCATAAGTCTCATTTCAGAATGTGGCAATCTTGATCATACTTGACAGTAACTTCTGATTTCGGCGAGGTACATTGAAATCAATTTAGCCAAGTAATTTTGTTTGATGAAGACAACTTCTGCTGTAGGTGATGCACGCTGAAATTTTGATAACTCAGTAGCGCATATTTTGACTGTTGCAGATTCTTCATCTTGATATGACTCGATTAGCATTCTTACCAGCACCGGAGACTTGGCTAATAGAAGCTTCATAAGCTGCAACAAAGGCTTTGAGCCTTTAATATACTTTAGATTAACTTCCTTGAGATGATTAAATGTCACATCCGAGAAATGTTCCACTTCAAGAGATTCCAGCGCAGATGTACCATCAACATGAAGATACACCACCTAAGAAAAGATTAACCAAATCTCACCTAATTAATGATTTAAGGAGTATGAAAATAAGAAACAAGAAACGACATAATACATTAACAGGCTCTCAAACTTGGCCTTAGTTGGCAAGCATGTCCTCCAACTTTAGGTGTGCACAAGCAGACACCTCAACTTGTGACTTTATACAAGTTGAGGTGCCTACTTGTGCACCCAAAGTTGGAGTGCATGCTTGCTAGCTGAGACCAAATTTAAGGGCCTATTTATATATTATACTAAACTATTGTACATAAGAAAGAGAAAGAAAAGAGAACCTCAATTGCTAGATATTGTAAACATGAGAAGCTTCTAATCAAGCCAATAGCAAGCGAGATGACCTCCAATTCACCCAGACAACGATCAGATAGGTAAAGACGTTTGACACAGTGAAGAACAAAGGGAAATCTTTTTGATACAGCTCCACCTGTTCCAGCAAAGAGCTAGGAAAGAAAATACCAAAATCAGGACGACTCAAATAAAAAAGAAGTTCCATCATTGAAAATGCATTACAAGGAAGTGATGAAGCACATTTACCTCGATACTACCATTGCCCAAGTGGAGATGCTCAAGAGCCGAAAAAGACTCAAAAAACATGGCAATATCACATATTCCTTCTTTCTCATCATCTCTTGTATCTGCAAGTGAAAGTTTTGCAAGAAGAGGGACATCTTTTAACGTAAGAAATCTTATACTGCCTGTGAAGTCAAAGGATTTCAACTTGGGAGCTTTAATTTCAATACCGTTCAAATGTTCTGAGATTCGCAGCACCAACTGCTCGAGCAACAGACAATTGGAAATTAGACTTTCAAGAAATTTGGAAGAAATTGTGACGTCGCGTAATTCCAGGCTAATTAACCTGTCAAATCCTTTGAAGTTTGATGGAGGAAGTATTGAACAATTCTGGAGAGTCAGAAGCGTCAACTGCAGGCATTTGAAAAATGATACAGGCAGTTTGTATGGGTTACCACTTAATGGAAGTCCAAGAACAAAATGCTGAATGCCATTTCTAAAGAGAAAATATATCAAGTCATCAATCTCAGGATAACTACTCGAACTAGTAATGCAGAGGATAAACTTTGTAATTGGCCCTACATGAAGCATCAAAATGTGGTAGATAATAATGGAAATTTTACTAGGACATAACATTTCATTAATTTTAGTTGTCCAAACAGTTTCATCAAACGTCAACTTCGAAAATTAGCTGTTCTTTTTAAATAATATAATGGTGTTTTGTTAAAGCAAGTACCAAGGAGTTATAATGTAATGGTCTTCGTGACCTATATGACCTATAGGTCACGGGTTCGAGCCATGGAATCGCCGATACTTGCATCGGGATACGCTACCTACATAACATCCCTTTAGGGTGCAGTCCTTCCCCCGATTCTGCGTGAACGCAAAATGCTTTGGTACCGGGCTGCCCTTTTTTAGATGATTAACTATTTCACAGACGGGGCTAAATTTGACATCAAACTAGTAAGCCAAAATAAGCTTAATAACTATTTCCTACAAACAGAGGCGGAGGCACATGTTAAGTTGAGGGGTCACCGGCACCCGAAAACTTCGGCAAAAACTTCATATGTCATAGGCCTCCGTATCAATCTTTATGAGCAGTGATAAATTTATATTGAGTGTCATGGTGCCCGCCGCCGCCGAATCGTGGGTCGGCCTCTGCCTACAAATCGGATAACCTTACCCCTAGAAGTTGAGTACCAAAATTGGAATAGCGTAAATAATCTCAGTAAGCATGAGTGGCAAAGTTGTAAACACAACGGAAACTGAATAACATAGCGCATGATATAATTAGTCTTACTTTACAAGGAGGAGTTAGGCTTTCTCTTCTTTGGGTTGTCCTCAACTCTTCCGCTGTTGGCTACTAATCAAGCTTTCTTTAAGTATTTAGAGCTTTTATTATTATTATTATTATTATTATTATTATTATTATTATTATTATTATTATTATTATTATTATTATTATTATTATTAACTCTCTGGTTTCTCCCTCTAAAATAATTGTCAGAAGTCGGCACTACCTAAAACATAAACAAAAAAAAAAGGAAAATATATATTTAAAAGGAATAAAATTGTCTTCAAAGTATAAAGATGTTCCTAGCAATTAAAAAGAACATATTAATTTTAATTACAATTATGATCAACAATTATGAAATATATATTTAACGAGTGAAAATATCGATCAATATTTTAATTTAGAATTTCATACTTTTACTAATTGTTAAGTGCAATGCCAACATTTCTATGGACTATCCTCAATTTGTA